TCGATGGGTCCCCCAGGGGGGTAAGGACCACAGCTCCCCCAGTTCTGGCTGGCCTACATTGGTCCAGGTCTCTTGATGCGCGCCCCCAGTGTGCGAAGATTTGACTGCCGGTTCCGAGAGGCCCCGATCGAGTGAGCGGGCCCGAGCGACAGCCCCAAGAGCGGCCAGCTCGGAAACCGCCGACAGTTACCAGCCTGGAACGTATCCCTATCCCTAAGCTGGGCCTCGCCTCGACACAATGCCAATCTTAGGGACTCCCTTAGTTTTTCAGGGCGCATCCCTAAGATTGTCATCGCCTTTTGGCGTGTCAATCTTAGGGACAGGGATGGGATGCACAAAGACGTACTAGTACTATATGTCATCCTTGGACGCGCGCGTCCGACCCGAACATATAGTATACCCATCTTGTAGTATATCGTTTCCCGAGCGGTGTGGCCAGAATGCGCCCGCCACAACGCATATACTATAAGATTCCTCGGTGCGCGCGTCGCCCCTGGGAGGGCGACGCACATATAGTATAAGTATGTCGGGGTGTTGCCGATAGGGATACGTTCGAGGCTGGCGAGACAGCTCACCGAGGACAGCGAGCTGCGGGGCAGTGGCCGACGACCCGGGGAGAAAGGACGAGGCCCGGGCGGCAGCCGGAGGGGCAGACAGGAGCATGGACCGAGGAGCAACGCATGACAGCGAAAGCGGGGGAGGACGGCACCACCTGGCGGTTCACCGAGGCCACGAGCCAGAGAGCCCAGGGAGGCCGACCGGCCGAACAAGTGCAGCAAATGCGCGCGTCCCTATTCCCTAGCAGCCCTAGCACTACATCATCCCCACTCTGGGCGTCTGCCAGCCGAGAGCCGTCTCATCCCAGCCCTTCCGCCCCACCCGCCCCCCAAAAAACAATACAAAAACCATGCTTTTCACCTCAGCATGGGCATCCTGCCGCCCATACTGGCCATCGCTCAGACGTCCGTTTCCTGTTTTTTTTCGGTTTCGCGCGTGGTTTTTTCGCCAAATGATCAGGGATGCTCCTCGAGGGTCCTCGCCGAAGGAAAAAAACACACACGTCCGAGCGATGCCAGGCATGTGCAGACTGCGCGGCAGGAGTGGAGCGGGGCGCACATCCCGCGTGGAAGGCCGAAATGTCGCGCCCGCCTCGGCGCCGCGCCCCTTCTCCCACAGAGCGTGCGCTCCCGCCCGGGCGCGGCGCACGCTGCTCGCGCGCGTCGTCGTCGCCGACGCGCCAGCGGGGGGGAAGAGGCCCTCCCGCCGGGGCGCCGCGCAGACTCCGCCTGCAAATAGTTGACTACCTACTGGACCACCCCAACCCCACCCGAAAGACCCGAGCCTGACCCCAATTTCGGGTTGGGGGGGGGGTACGGGTTCAGTGTGCTTCTTCAACGTTCCCGGACCCCCCCCCCCCCACACTGGAAGTGGAGGGCAAATTGAGGGTTTCGGGTTGGGTTGGGGTGAAGGGGCCCCAGGACACACAAATAAATACACACAAATAACATGATTCCCCATATGTTCCTATCTTCTTTGAGTTTTTGTGTCTTCCATCCCACTTCCCATATTTTCCCATACTTTCCTGGGAGTGGGCGATTCATTGTGTCTGTGTGCTTTCTCCCCTCCTGCTTGGGGTGGTTTGGTGGGTGGTGAGTAGCGCTCCCGCCGCCCGACGCGGCGCAGACAGTTGCACTCGCCGATGCCCGTCGGGCCCGCCGCGAGGGGGCGACGTGCCGCCCTCGCCCAGATTTTTCCCATGAGAGCTCTCGGCGCGGGAGCCGCGCTCCGGCGCGGGCGCGGCGCAGGGCTCGCTCGCCGGCCACAATCCTTTTCCTGGCAAGCTGGGCCTCTCCCTGGCAAGCTGCAGTCGGGGCGTGGACCTCAGGAACCCTAAATGAGGAACGAGGCCCCTTTTTCCCATGTAAGTCAGACTTCGATATCCCATCGAAACCCTGAGCAAAACCCAAGGCGAACTGCAAAACAACGAAGGAACACCGAGCCCCTCCCCAACGAAAAGGGTTCCTTCCTCAGCGCCCCGACTGTAATCCACTCCCCGGTGCGAGTTCCAGAGTATGTTCTCCAGGAGGCCTCCGGAGAAGTCCCGAGAGGCCTCCTTCAGAAGCGCCCTGGGCCTCCTGAGCGGCGTCTCGGGCCTCCTGGGAGGCGTCTTGGGCCTCCTCAGAACCGTCTTGGGCCTCCCGAGAGGCGTCGTGGGCCTCCCGAGAGGCGTCGTGGGCCTCCCAGGAAGCTTCTTGGGCCTCCCGGGAATGGGCGTCCCGAGGACGAGTGCTTTTTGGTGCCGCCGGGATTCTGGGGCCAGGCAGACGCTGGCGAGGCGGCGAAGTCTTCGCGCCCCGCTCAGCGGTGTGGCCCGGGGCGATTCGTTGCCGATGGCGACGCCACAGTGGAGGCCGCGCCTGGTGACGGCAACTGTCTGTTCGGGGCAGTCAAACAGGGAATTTGCGTCCCTCTGGGGGGAGCAGTCGCCATCCTCGGATGGCAAAAGCTTGCGGTCCTCCGTCGTCAGCTACATCGCGGTCCCTAGGATTCCTAGCAGGCCCTCCCAGGGATTTGGGAAATG